TGTAGAATGGATCATGATCAATATTAAATGTGTGTGTGTTGTAAGAACATCTACAACTTGAATTCTGGTCTTCTGTCCCCATAATAGCCATCTGACCCTCAGCAAAGATATTATGGATAATGTCATGAGAGATATGCCAAGCTGGCTCAAATTGAAATCATTAAAAAGACATTAGGTGGGATATATTTCTACTCGAAAATAATGGAGTTTGTACTTTGTTATGAACAAATTCCATTTCTAAAATGTTCCATTTTCACAATAATCAATGAATGTAAAAAAAGTGAATATGTTTGCCCAGCAGAGGTCAGCATTAAAAAAAAATGGTTCAACTTAAGAATGGTGTTAAGTTATTAAATCCACCTGGTGCAAATTATTTTTAAAATACAAGGATAAAGGTTTTCTCATTTACATGCTCCCTCTTGCCAACATATTGCGCAGACAGAGTTTAATGTATTTTTCCACTTCCACTCGATTCCAGTGGCAAGCTTTCAGTTTCTACATCCCTAACCTATGGAAGTCACTCCCTCTACCCACCCCATCTTTTCCTCTCTTGGTCTTTATGTCCCATCTTAAAACCTCCTTCGACCACACCTATTGTCACCTCCCCCTTGCTATCCCTTGCTCTTCAACCAGCCAAGACATTATCCCATATACACTATATAAATTCAAGTTGGTGTAAAATTAACTTTTTTTTTATCATTTCCATCAGAGGATGGATAGTGAAACAGTATTCCCACTGATTTGTCAATTGGTAACAAAGATTGCAACTTTTTTGGGGTCCGCTGAGTGTCTGACACATGCAGAAACCCATCACCATGATTAGCAGTACCCAAACACAGTTACGAGAATGCCACCTACACTTGGAAGCTTTCTGTTGTTTGTCCAGCGAGGACCATTCCACTTGATAGGGCTTGGCTTTGGCTTGCAGGGTTAAAAGGAGCTGAGTGGGAAGAATCTCTGTCCCCAGTCTGCCATTGAAACAGACTGGCTGGGCTATCAGTGCACTGGAGTACTGTGGACCTACCTGCCTTAGAAACTGAGCTATCAAGACAGCCACACAATTGACTCGATTCCAACAATCCATTGCCAAGCATATTATCTTTGAGCCAGTTCAGCTGTCAGTAAGTTTGTAACCATTAGAATTTCCTCTGTCAATTCTCTGCCTGCCTTTCATCTATCTTCAAATCCTACCTTTAAACTGACCTTGTCGACCAAGTCCATGGTCACTTATTCTCCATCGTTCTATTTCCAACCTGCCACTGTGCAGTGCTCTGAGATGCTATCCTGCATTAATAATAATCCTTGTATTTGATATGGTCTTCTAGATGTCTCAAAGCGCTTCACAGAAAATACTGTAAAGCAATTGACTATATTTTGTGGGCATTAAGGGCAATATATGACTTCAATTGATCTTGTTTACCTCTCTCCCAAGGAGGACAATCCAAGTTGGTCATTTCAACAGTGACGAGCACATCTTTGAATAATAATTCAGTGATTTTTATAAAACACTGGTAAGGCCACCAATGTGGATGCTGTGTTCCGTTCTGGGCACCACACTAGTATATGTTTGTGGGACACTGCTGTGCGCAATTGGCTGCTGCATTTCGCCCACAAATATATGGTCAATTCAGTTTTCAAGGCTGAGACTGATAGATTTTTTAAAAAATAGAGGGATTAGGGGATAGGGCAGATAATTAGAGTTAGGTCAGAAGATCAGCCATGATCTTATCAAATGGCGGGGCAGACTCGAGGGGCTGAATGGCCTACTCCTGCTCCTAATTTTTATGTTCTTATGTTCTTTACAGTATATTCTGTGAAGCACTTTGAGACGTCTAGAAGACATGAAAAAGCGCTATATCAAATGCAAGGATTATTATTATTATTTACCATGATGGTACCAGGAATGAGGTACATCAGTTATCAGAAGAGGCTAGAGAAGCTGGGATTATTCTCCTTACGAGCAGAGAAGGTTAAGAGGAGACTTAATAGAAGTTTTCAAAATTATGAGGGAATTCGATAGGGTGAACAAGGAGAAACTATTTCCACTGGCGGGTGGGTCGGTAACCCGAGGACACTGATTTAAAATAGTTGTTAAAAGAAAGAGAGGGGAAGTGGGGAGAAATGTTTTCACACAGTGAGTTGTTTGGGTCTGGAATGCATTGTCTGAAAGGTGGTGGAACCCGATTCGATAACACTGGCCTGCGGTGTGAGACGATGGTGGAGTCAGGCAATATTGCGGAGGTTGTGGAAGTCAGAGCGGGTCATGGCACAGATGTGGGGTAGAAAGGATAGTTGAGGGTCAAACAAGATGCCAAGGTTCTGGACTGGCTTAGTAAGGTGGAGTGTGTATCCTTGGATGGTAAGGCTGTCAGAGCCTGAGGTGTGGAGGCGCTGACAGGAGCCAATTAGGAGGGGATTCGTCTTGTTGATATTCAACTGAAGAAAGTTAACTCAGAAAGTATCAGAAATTCCTTGCAAGCTTCCTGGTGAGCAACAGGCCGTGGTGGAATTTAAAAAGGAATTTTTAAAAATAATTAACTATTGAAGAGGCAGAATATAAATCAGTACAGGGAAAAAACGGAGAATTGGGATAAGACCAGTTAGCCTCAATGGAGAAACTGGCAGCAACACAGATTTGATGTGCTCTTCCACTGCTCCAATTTCCATGAATATAAGAACACATGGATTGCTACACAAAAGAAGACCAAGGCCCATCCAGTTCGCCTTCCACCATCCTGGTAGTCGCGTGCACATGTCGTGTCCCAAACTCTATACTGTATACCAAGATATTATTTCCTAAAAGAAATCTATCTGATTTGCTTTTGAAGGAACATTACTTTCTGCGTCCACCGTGTCCTTATGAATCTATTAAATTATGTATTATGAGCAAAATAACTTTTAAACTAATACCAATGGCAGCAAACACCAGCTGGGTTTATACTGACTGCTCATGTCAGTGGGTTCTGGGTCAGTAGTTCAAGTGATCCACCCATTTTTTGAGCCCTGCCAGTACTTTGCTGCTGCTAGAATATAAAAAAGAATAATAGAAATTTGGCAGTGTCGTATTGTTCATTTTCATTCACATTTCACAGAGCTAGTGGTGGAAATCCTAATTGTTGGTAATCACAGAATTGATAACAATTACTGTCTTTTTTCTCTGACCCTCAGTAGCTACGTTTTCTGATTTAACAGTATGTAATTACTATTATATAAAAAAATCATCGCCCACATAAAAGCAACAATATAATTACTATTATATAAAAAAATCATCTCCCACATAAAAGCAAGTGTTCAAAAAACAAGTTTGCTGATGTAGCTACATTTACTTGTACCGTTATTTGATTTGCAAAAATCACAACTTTGAGGAGGGATAAGTAAATTCACTATTTTCAACAAAAACAACAACAACAACAACAAGATTCCATTTATAAAGCGCCTTTCACGTCAGGAGGACGTCCCAAGGCGCTGCACAGTTGGGTCATGACCCGAGCAGTGGGGGAAATGGTCAGGGTGAGGGAAGGGAAGGGAGGGAGCGAGGAGGGGGGACATGGTCAGGGTGAGGGGAGGGAAGGGAGGGAGCGAGGAGGGGGAAGAGAGTCGAGAGGGGAGCTGAAGGCACGGTCAAAGAGAACAACTTGTATTTTATAACGCCCTTCACATAAGGAATGGCGAAGCACTCGGGTTCTGCTAACAGTCGTGTCTATTACAAACCATCTGTAAATGCAGGTGCACTATGAGCTACACGAGAGAAATGAACATCCACGTTAATCAGAATGGGCCCCATTGCAGATAATTGAACATCATAAAAAACACTAATTGGTTACAATGTTGGCTGCAGGTTCAGACTATTCACCCCCACCCCTTGGCTTTTCTCTCTGAGGAAGAAATTCCACCTGGATTTACTCAGTTTATGTAGCATTTCAGAATGTGTAGAATTTGGCAAATTAACTCTCGCATTCAATTTTGCATTCCTCACTTCAACTCTTAAAAAAAAGTGCAGAAAACCTGCTTCAAGGTTACATTAATAGTAATAATCCTTGCATTTGAAATTGCGCCTTATCGCGTTGTTGAGCCGTCTCAAAGAGCTTCACAGAATATACTGTGAAGTGAATTAATTGTGTATTCGAGGGCGAAAGTGGCAGCCAATTGCGCATAGATAGCAGTGTCCCACAAAGTCGTGGATTGAGTGACCAATTTTTTATTAAGGGATTATTGCCCCCAGAAAGTGATCCACCATTCGAGTAACAACCGGGTCCTATTTACAGGTAGCTGAACAGGGGCATGTGGTGTAAGGAAACTTGTCTAAGGTTTCATCCCACCCGGGAATCAAACCCGGGTCCTCTCACTTGCGAGGCAAGCATGCTAACCACTGCACTATGGGACGTTAAATCTGCATTTAAGAAGTTATCCAATTCTGGACGTTCGGAAATGTGAGAGTAAATCTAGGAATTTCCTCCAACCCAAAATCTCTTTCTGCCTTTTTCTCTCTCTCGTCCTCATCATGTGCAGAAGTCCGTGTGCAGAGGAAGAGCAAGTGTCCTGAATTATGTAATTAAAAGTGAAGTAAAAGGATTTACTATGTAATCAATACTTTTCATTACTGTAGAATTAAGGGCACCTGTAATTTCCATTATTCTATGAAAAAGCACTTGGGACATCCCACTGACATGAAAGGTGCAAACGAGATGTTAGAATTATTTTTATTAGCATACACTATTGTTGACATACACTTTAACAGGCTGCAATATCTTAGGCAGCTGAATGTTCAACTCCAGAAATCGAAAAGCATGACTGAGTTCTAGGGATATCTGCTACTCAGACACCTGCTTCACCTGAGTGAGCTCAGGCTGATCTCAGGCCACTTTGTCAGAGCTCACATGAAAAAAAATATAGTGTTCCAAAATGGTCTTGTGCTGCACTCATGAGAGGATTGAAATCTCCAATCTATCTTCTGCAAATTGGTACAAAGACTTTTAGAACGAGTGGGAGGCCAAACGTACCTCCTCAGACTGCCGAATGGACTTCAGTGGTATCCAGACGTTGCCCACCATCGTGTCCCAGATTAGCCCTTTGTTCCACACCTCCACAATCAAGCCAAGGTCCAGCCGATTGATTTCACTGCAGGAAAGCAAAGTTACAAAACATCAGTCCCTTGTTCAGTTTGTCATCACATGATAAGTGTCGATACACAAATAAACTATTTGGTACAGAGTTAACCATCGCCAACATTCATTCTTAGTGACCGAAACTATTTTGATTCCAGTCTATTCTAATATTGACTGAGTCTATTATTCAGTCCATTTTATAGAATTATAATTAAACTTAAACAATATGCTTTGAAATGTTTTGACATGAAAAGGCACAATCCAAAATACATTTTTTTATTTTTATTTAGCAGTTTGAAATGTTCAAGGTGGATCTGCATCAGAACACTTTGTACAACTCGTAGTTTGGAATTATGAATATATTGGAATTTCACATCAAGAGCAATGTTATTTTAGTTTTTATGTCTTTTAGGATAACAATGCTGAAACAATTAAATCATCTCCTATTATTTCAACAATTCATGATAGCAAAAAATACAAAAATCAAATCATATAAACAAAATACAATAACTCTACATTAGCTAATAGCTTTTGGCATCCTTTCCAGTGAAAACTGGCTGGCTTAATTCCGATCCCAAAGTGGTTTGAAGCGCTCTGAGACACTACACCATGTGAAGGGCACTATATAAATGCAGGTTGCTGTAAATGCAAGTAGTTGTTCCATAATTATAAATTATAAAATCTCTCCCTCGTCATTTCTAAAAAAAAAGCATGAGCACAGTGAACAAGATAAGGGAGGATGTATGAAGAAATTCCTTTCTGATCTTATCATCTAAAACACCAATCCTATCTTTGTTCAATTCCAGCATTAAGTCATTTCTTAAATGAGTCCATGAGAGATGTCAAAGTCTTCAAAATGTACACCCACAGGCTATTTAAGTTGTCCTGTGATTGCAGACCTCGAGGACATGAGGAAAAAAAGACTGCTTATAAGAGGAAGAAACAGTAGAAAATTCAGATATGTGTGTGTGTATGTGCGTGTATATATATATATATATATATATAATATGAAACTGGCACCAAACAAAAGCAGTTACCAAGTGTTGATTAATTCCTGAAAACTATTAGAGGGAGGATAGGCCAAGACTCACACTTAGTGGAATATGATGGATCGTGAGTTACAAGGATAATAAAAGAACCCAATATGAATAATGCAGGATGTAAGAATGAAGATATTCTAGATATTCACTCCATTACATCTGACAGTCAGGGAGAAATATTCCAAAACCGTTCCGCATTAGATGAAGCACGTGGCATTCCTAATGGAGCAAATTATTCACATCTATGGGAAAAACAGATTTAGGGGGTCTTTTATTCCCGATCTTTGTGATGTTCAATTAAGTGTCCAAGTTGTCAGCAACAGGCAGGAAAATAAATACTGTCCACATCACTATGGTTCTTTTCAGTACTTTGCTGAACAGAACAAAAAAGAGCAAAAAAGACGACATGTTGAGTTGGGAGCTGACATACCAATTTGTTCAAAATGAGCTACCACAAGTATCTTAATACTTAATATTAAGATATAATATACAGATAAAACATTTGATTGCTTTGAATTGAGGTACATGATGTATATTTTGGCTGGTTTTCAGCAATGACTAGCAGTCATCGAAAAACTCCAGGTTGCTATACAGCTGAGGAGTCTTGTCTGCTTAGCAGTGTGGCATATCATTAATAATCACAAAGATGGTGTTCAACTACTAACTGAGCTTAATTCGCTGGAACAAGTTATGCCAACCACAACATTCTGAACTGGTATTCAAATGACAAGTCCTAATCACGTGAAAAGTATAGATGTGTATCAGAAGGAATTATGAAGCTTTCAATTATGCAAAATATATGAAATTAATTTGGGCACGCTGAGAATATGGTTACACAGTAAATCAGTTAAATCAGTTACACCTAACCAATTTCAAAATGTTCCAAATACATAAAAAGACACATTTGACCTCCATTATACCGTGGGTCCAGACACAATTCAATTCACGACTGTTTGTGTGTCACTGCTGTATGCAATTGATGCCGCATTTTGCTCATAAAACTATACAGTCAATCCACTTTACAGAATGTTCTATGAAGTACTTTGAGACGTCTCGAAGAGGTGATAAGGCACGATATCAAATGCAAGGATTATTATCATTATTACTATTATTAGGTGTACCATGGTATTTAAAATACACTTTCAGCCTGGCTGGCTTCCAACATTAATTATGCACAATGCCTCCTGGTATCTGCAACATCCCAGCTGCCACTGAAAAGGCTCATGAGAATGGTCACCCCCTGACTGGCCAGCTTTCCATGTGTTTGTGTGCACAGTGACTTCAGCTGTAACCTGACAACTCAGCAGGAAAGACAAGATAGCTTAGGGTTTTTTAGCCTGGAGATGAGACGATTGAAAGAGGATGTGATAAAGGTGTTCAAAATGATGAAGGGGTTGATAAGGTGAACATAAATAGTCTGCTTCCACTTGTTGGCGACTCCAATTCCACCATTCTATTAGATCTTAGCTGATCATAAAATCATAGAATATTACGGTATAGAAGGAGGCAATTCGGTCCATCGTGCCTGTGCCGGCTCGTTGGAAAAGCTATCCAATCAGTGCCAATCTCACACTTTTTCCACACACCCCTGCAAATTTTTCTGATCAAAATGAAGCAACATTAATTTTGTATAAAACCTCGGTGAGACCTAATTTAGAATACTGTGTGCAATCCTGGTCAATAGATTATATGGAAGATATTGTGGCAATGGAGATAGAGCAGCGTAGATTTACGAGAATGTTATCATGAATGAGAGAACATGGATAGTGGGAAAGGCAAGATAGCTTAGAGATTTTTTGCCTGGAGATGAGGCGATTGCGAGAGGATGAGATAGAGGTGTTCAAATGTTCAAAATTATGAAGGGGTTGATCAGCTAACATAAATAGACTGTTTCCACTTATTGGCAACTCCAACAACAACAACAAATTACACTTGTATAGCACCCTTCATGTCAGAAAGACTTCCCAGGGCTCTGGACAGTCAGGGTTTTTTGGACCCGAGCTGGGAGTTGGGGTCAGGAGGGGTGGAGGGCAGGGGGGTGGGAGGGGGGGCCGAAGGCACAGTTGGAGAAGAAAGTTTTTAGACAGGATTTGAAGGAGGCAAGGGAGAGGGTGCGGCAGAAGGATTGTGGGATAGAGTTCCAGAGTGTGGGGGCACAGATGCTGATTGCCCAACTGCCAATGGTGGGGCGGGAAATGCGGGGGACCTGAAGGTCCATGTCCGCTGAGCGGATGGAACGGACAGACTGATATGGGGTTAGGGGGTCGCAGAGGTTGGGAGGAGCAAGACCGTGGAGGAATTTGAAGCTGAGAACGAGTGTTTTGTACTCGATTCACTGAGGGCTGGGAAGCCAGTGAAGCCGCGCTGCAGAGTTTTGAATAATCTGCAGCTTGTGGAGGGAAGAGCCCCGAGGGATGCCACATGTGACAATACGGGGGCTTGAGGAGAAGCCATTGGTGGACACGAAGTGCAGACGGTGGGAAAGGTAGGATTGGAACCAGGCAAGGACAGATAAAGGGGCACAAATATAAGACAGCCACTAACTGATCAAAAACAGTTTAAGAGGAACTTCTCTACAAAGAGGGTGGTGAGAATGTAGAACCCATTGTGATTGAAGCAGAAAGTATCAAAGCATTTAAGTAGAACCTTTATAATAATAATAATATAATATGTACAAATAAGAAATAAAGGAATAGAGGAGAATGAGGAATGGGGGAAAGAGAGGAAATTAAGATGGCAGGAGGCTCATGTGGATTATAAAACAGTTGAGCTAAATGGACCATTTTGGTGCTGTAGATTCCCTATAATTTTATGTAAGAAAATAGAGTCTAGACCAAAGTGGAATTTCTCTCCCATAGTAAGCAAATTCCATCATATTACACCTTACTCGGTCACTGTGTTAAACACTGACGCTGACCCAGTTTTACACACATCGACAACACTAACAGAAAATATCACTTTACACAACACAAATCTCTATTGTACATCAATCAAAACAAGTTGACAGTCATACTACTTTGGTTTCCAGTTCTGACCTCCACTTCCTTTGCAAATATAACTAACACCACAAGAATTCATTTCAGTAATTCAAAGAATTTGTAATATTAGCTAAGTTAGGCACTGTGTATAATTTACATTCTCTTTATATGCTTCAAGTCTCAAAATTGTATTTTAATATTATGACTAACTCAGAAATTTGGTTTAAAATAACTTAATATTAGCATTTGCACTTAGGAACAGTGAACATGCAGAATGTACCCCTCAGAGTGAAAGAGGCAGCTTGCAACAGCCCATACAAGAGGAAATTGGATATTTGGCAATAATTCAACTGAAGCTAAGTGTAGAGTTTTTTTTAAGTCTTGTCTTGTATATTCCTAAACTTGTCCTATAATAATAAAGACAAGTCTAATTCTCAACTTCAAACCTATAATTAACTAACTGTGCAAGGAAACAACTCACTGAACGTTGCTGATCTGCACAGTTACGGAATCTCCAAAAAACAGCATCTAAATCTTTGAAAAAAAGTTCATAGATGGTTGGATCAGATACTCAGAGAATATGAACAATGCAGAAGGCTTGATGGGCTGGATTTCCTAACATCTAAACGCCCTTTGGGCTGCAGTGGTCTATTGCCACATTCATCTTTCACTTGCCTTTTCCAAAACGAAGCTAATAAAGCACATAATAAGACAGGGAATCAGGATTAACAAAAGACAGCAAACATTAAAAAGACATACAAGAAAATCTAACCCAATTTGATAAAAGGATGAAAAACAAAGAATAAGATAAAGATAAAAATACAAGACATAAAGTAATTCAAGACAACACATGCAATTGATGGAACAACAAGGTAACAGTGAGAGTTTAAGCTTCGATTGCTGACTCCTATTATGATGTTTGCCCTTCAGTCAGATAAGCAAACTGACCTGATGGCTCGACATCCTTTCACCAACAGTGCTGCAAAGAGCTGGCT